GGAGAGTGAGGCAGTCGGGAGAGTGAGAAAGCGCGTTAAAGAACCACTCTTGAACCAGGTAAAGAAGTTGGGGGACAAGTTAAGGAAGATCTGGCCGTGCCAAGACGAGGGCAAGTTGCGAAGGGCTGAACTCGTGACACGAGAGTTAGACAAACTGTTTAGGGAAGAAAGAGAGATTATCCAGGCATGGAGATCAGACTTTCTGGAGAGGATAAAGGCTAGAAGCGTATCACGCGAAGAAATTAGTGAGCGATCTGCAGAGAGCGAAACAACGGAAGACAAAGTAACGCAGGGAGGTAGCGACAGGACATGAGTGGGACAGCAGTGCACACGACGGATCGGTACTCATTGCATGTGGTAGGGAGATTGGACGGGCCATTGGTCTTAGTGATCGTAGAGTTTCAACTCCATACCAGACTGTGCATAGTTGAGGAGGCAGAGTGTGTCCGCCGCGCGCTGCGTGAGGCTAGGGGAACGGGACTTTGGATTGGAATAGAAGGAGGATGGAGGATAAAATACGTACTCCAAGTGACACCTTTCGAAGGTCGGTCTCGGATAAGGGCATGGTACGAGACGACCCGAGAGGCTGAGAGGTTGAAGATAAGCGAGGCCAGGAAAGCTGGAGAGTTAGGGAGAGTTGTAACAGATGGTGCAATACTCAGGRTGTTAGCCGCTCACAACCGGTACTGGAAGGAAACAGTGAAGACTTTAGAGGCGATAGACGAAGGGGGAGATAATGAGGACTTTGAGACATTTTATGACATATTGGAGCGGTCGGCGATGAGGTTACAAGTCGTTATAGCACTAACTTACCTCAGCTGTTAGACAGATGACCTCGTAAGCAATGAGGAGATAAGGTAGTTGGGAATAAAAATTGGAAGCTCTTGGGAGGATAGAGGAAGCTAGAAAGGTCGATGGGCGGCTTTGGACGGCAGTAGGAGGGCCTTTAGCGGGCTGACCGATTCAGACTGGGCTAGGAGAACTAGCAAGGAGGATGGAGAGAGACGCTCAGGGACTCTTGAGAAGTGTTGATCAGGAAACATTGGCTAGGTTTGGGGTACGAGATACAGGAAGTGGTAATCAAGGCAGTCGAGAGCTAAGATTGGAGGCGGACGCGAGCCGTAATAAAGAAACAGGTCCGGGCTGCAACGACTGACATAGGGTCGGGCTATAACAGTTGGCCAGAATACCTAATTGCATCTTCTGGCGGTCCAATGGAACCCGACACGATGATGCCACAACCGACCGCGGGCGAAGCGGGAGAGGAGTACAGGACATCGCCCAATCGAGCACTGAGGGATCTGAAGGAACGAATTAGGCAAGAAGCACCGCTGAGATGGGCTGACCAAACCAATGACGGAGGGCCCGACATGAGAGGCGAACCAGTTGCGACAGAGCCGCAGGAGGTTCTAAGGACGGCTACCTCGAGCGAACGACGAGAAACGACGAGACGACGCTCCCCCGAGTACGAGCGGAGGGACACCATAGCGGATAGGCACAAAGACGACTGGAGAGAGAGTTTATGAGATTCCTGTTGGAGGGACAGAGATAGAGACAGGGCGCCGCCCAGGCGAGTCTTCAACCCGCAGACAGGGGAGTCACATCCGGTCCCTTACGAGAGCAAGGATCGCTATATTATTACACACAAGGCCTCAGAGCCTCCTACTTTCAGGGCTTATGGTATCACAGAATATCTGGAAAAGTGGGAGCTTCACGCCAGTCGGAGTCAGTGGTCGGAGGAAGAGATTATAGAG